AACTTACAGGGAGGAAAGATTTACTTCTGACTCACAGTTTTATTATGTGATTACTTGGCCCATGGTGAGGTCACACAATGGCAGAGAGTGTGGTGGAGCTAGGTTGCTCACCTCATGGTGGCCAGGAAGCAGAGAGAGTGAACTCACTTTTATAACAGACTCCCCTGATCCAAATTCATTAAGCTATGAATCCATAAGTAGACCCATCAGTTCATGAGTCAGAGCCCTAGTGACCCAGTGACCTTCAAGAAGGCCCCACCTCTCAGCACTGCTGCCTTGAGGACCAGACCTTCCACACATGAGCTTTTGGGCTCCAAATCGTAGCAAGCACTGTCTTTTCTTTGTAAACTGCTAAGCTACATGGTAGGGTTACAATAATAAAAAAGACTTTTCTCAAGGACCTTGAAGTTCAATAAAGGAGATAGTACAAAACACCCTACAAAGGATAAAACGGGATAACCCCATACTATGTCATAGTGAAGGTATTGCTACAGCGCTGTGAATTTCCCAGCTGAAGTTATTTTTACCTGGAGACATCTGGGAAACTGACCTGGCTATGGAGCCACTAGCCGGGAACCAGCCTCTCAAAGGTGGGGGTAGAAGTTGGGTGAGCACTGATGATGCTGCAGAAGGTCAAAGGCAGATAGGATAATAAGGAGGCTTGGGACAGGTGAACTTAAACCACAATTAGTTTTGTTACTTAGGCTTCAAATATGTGAAGAGTGTATGATTCATTTTTGCATGGGCTTTGGAAAGGATCACATCTTATAGAAGTCAAAATGGTCAGTGCTCATACAGACTAGGCCTTTTTCTGTCCTCTTAGCCTTACCTGTTTCTACCACTTGCTCAAAGAAAATACTCTTTCAAAGAGATTCCCACTCATTGTGAAAACAGGACAGTAGAATCATCTTTAAAGAAAGAAGAAAAAAATAAAAACACTAGTTATGTGGCTCAAAAATAGAAAGGAGACAATGAAAGGTCTCCTGGTGACCCTTCCCTTCATAGCCCAATCCGCTCATCCTGCACTGTTTGTAGCACAAAACACAGGGACAACCAGATTTGTTTGAACATGGATTACATCAATGTAAGAAAAATTCCAATTCTAGGTTCATGCTTCCCTAGCTGAACACATTTTTAAATAGACTAGTGCTATATTAGCCTAGATGTAGTCAGGAGAGAGAAACCACAGTGTAATTTGAACAAGGAAAGTTTAGTGCAACAATCAGTAACTGTGAGGGAGGGGCTGGCGAGTGAGGAGAGAAGACTAAAAATACAGGAAAGCAGGTACAAGGAGCAGCCACCACCCCCGGGGCAGACCTTCAAAGGACATACCCCTGACTCAGTGATTGGCAGAAAATTTCACCCTGGTGGAACTTACTGGAAATCAGTCCTCTAAGGTGCTTGAGAAAGCTGTTCATAGGGAGGTGTTTGAAGAAGTTTCTGGAGACAGTCTTAGACAGCTGCTGGCAGCTGTGTACTGAAAGAGCCTCTCAAACTGCTACCCAGGACCAGGAAGCAAAACCCTCTCCTGTAGTTTTTTTCTTTTGCCCTCTCCTGAAAAGCTTAACATGCTGCCAATTGACAAAGGAAAATGATTTAAATGACTCAGACTGATTTTCACAGAGCAAGCAAAAAGGATGCATTTGGAGCCAAGTGGCAATCCAACCAGCACAATGACTAGGAAATACTAGTAGTCATGACATCCTACATGAAACTTGCTTGGAGAGACCACCTTCTGCCAGAAAGATGATAGATGCATTTCAAAGCCACATCGAAATGGCTTAGATATTATTACCAATTATACTACTTTCTCTTTCCACTGACAACTTGACTGAATTTTTTTGTTTTTTTTAGTAAAAGTCTCAGATGTAGCAAAACTCTAGGGTGCAGCAAGTGGAAATGAAGTGCCTTGGAGTAAAATCTTTAGTAGTGGAAACTATAGAGGCAGTGCTGGGCACCATGGCTCATGCCTGTAATCTCAACTGCTAGGGTGTGGCGATCAGGAGGATCACAGTTCGAGGCAACCCAGGCAAAAAGTTAGCAAAGCCCCATCTCAATCAATAAGCCAGGCGTGGTAGGGTACGTCTGTGATCCCAGCTATACAGGGGGGCTTACATAAAAGGTTCACAGTATTAGGTCAGGCCAGGCAAAAATATGAAACCATTCCTGAAATGTAACTAAAGCAAAAAGGGGCCAGGGACGTTGCTTGAGGCCCTGAGTTCAAACTCCTGTACTACCAAGAGGATAAAAGAAAGAAACTGTAGAAGCAGGAGTAGGAGATTTTAAATATAGGGAGGAAAAAAGTTGTCTAAAAATTCTCTTTATACCTTTAGCTACACTAAACATTCCATCTTCCTACAGATGTACCAGGACTCCAACAGGCAGCTGAGTGGCGGGCTTTCTCGTACTGGTGCATGGCTTGTTATTCTGGGGTCCTCCTTCCCCAGTAGCCTGCATCTCTCACTTGCCAGGTGGATCTGTCTTTTTAGTGCCCACTCTTCCACCTTCTCCACTTACTCTAGTTGGCATGTTTCCCACCAGTATTCTAAGGAAGGCCGCACGAGAGCGAGGTTGTTGGTGCCCTTGTATAGCTGGCAGTGCCTGTTCTATCTTGACATTGACCAACAATTGGAAATACTTTTCCTTTAGAACTTTGAAGTCTCCTCCCCATTGTTACCTACTTCCACTTACAAGGAGGAAGCCATTCTAATTCTTGTTTTTCCCTATGGAATCTGTTCTCTTTCTGAAAGTGAGCATTTCCCTTGCTTCCAGTATCTTGAAGTAGTGTGGTGGTGAGTGGGGTGGTGATACGCCTTGGAGTGAGTCTGTTTTCATGTACTGCATGAGTACTTCCTTGGTTTGTGGGTTTTTTTATTGGCTTTTTTGGAACTTCTGGACTGATCTTCCAGTTCCAGGTTTGTTTGTTTGTTTTTTAATTTATCTCTCCTATTTTCTACCTTTGTCTTTTCCTCTTTCTTCTAGATTTCTTCAACTTTTCATTTTGACCCTACATTTGAAAATTTCAGTTTGCAATCATTAAAAGTTTGTTTCTGTTCTCTTAATGTTCCTTTTTGTAGCATCCTATTCTTGTTTCATGAGCCCAATATCCTCTTTTCTGTCTGGGAATATTAGTGAGAGGTTTTCTTTTGTCCTTGAACTTTTCATATTGGCATGATCTTTGCTTCCTTCAAGTTGCCTTTTTTTGTTGGTTTTGGTATCTGTCTTTTGTTTTTCACAGATGTGTAGTGAGTTCTGTTTGCTCAATTTTAAGAATGAGGATCTGAAACAAGAGTTTCTTAACCAGTGTGCCCAAAGAGTGTTATAGGTGTATGAACATACTGATGGTGCCAGTCTTCTGAGTGGCTGGGTGGCATCTGGCCAGTCTACAGGCAGCTTCTGTTTACCCAAAGTGAGTTCCATGTCTTCATGTGCTGTGACATGGAGAAGCTTTGATTCTGGGCTAGGCTTGCTGGCCATGGCTCTCCCAGTCACATCATCAATCTGGCTCCTTTTCCTGGGGCACATTAACATCAGTGCTGGTAGGTCTTGCACTCATCAAATTCTCCACCAGAGTCTTCCAATTTCTCCCTTAGAGAATATAGGTCTTGCTTTCAGCCTTTTAGAAGCTGAGTTGGGGAAGACAGACTGGTGGTTCAGCACTCAGTGTGCACATGTTCTCTTAACTCTCACAGATTTTGGTACAGCACACCCTTAAAAGTTCCTGGTATCCTCACTTCTTTCCTTTTCAGAATGTAAATTGCTTCTCTTCCACCAGAGCTGGAAAGATCCTTACTACACTGTGCGCAGGAGCTGTTACATCTGGGAATCTGGCACTTTGCTACAACTTTGTTAGTCAGCTCTGTTTTTAGCTTGTCCTTCTTCCCTCCTTCCACAGCTGCCTGAGCCTTTTCAAGTCTTCAGTGCAGTTTAGGGTAGTGTCTTGGTTTTGCATACTGCTAATTTAGGATTAAACTTCCTTAGTATTCCAAGTCTGTTACTCTTGTCTATTTTCTAGTTTATGAAGTTTTGTTCTCTTTGTATTTACTCTATTGAAAGTTTTATTCTTTATTTACTTTATTATAGAAGCCTGAATGCAAAGAATGAGTTTAAATATTTGTTTCTGAGATGTTATCCCTTTAACTATTGCTACTTAGATGGCAGCATTTGAAGGTGTGCGTCCCTTTTCTTAGCACGGCAATTAGGGAGCAGTTGACATAACGCCATTTCTGCAGTTTGACAGACCTATAATTCACTTCAATGAGATGTTTCAAAATTTCACTTAAATATTTTTTAAGGAACTGGGGTTCCTGGATTTGCAAGACCCTGGGTTTGATTCCTAACATTGCAAAAAAAAATAAGAATTAAAACCTTAGAAACATGAACTGAACATGTATTTCCCAGACATGGAAACTCAGGCCGCAGGTGCCGAGCTCGGGGTCAGCAAAATTACAGAGCCAGAGTCAGAAGGACTGGGATTTGTCCACAGGTACTCGCACAGCACGTGATGCTCCTGTCAAGCTAGAATTATCCAGTACCACAGTTCTCCTGCCATGCACCTGAAGGAAATTCTTTTACACAGTACAAAAGGAGACATAATAATAGTCACAGCAACCCTGTGCACAATATCAAAAACCTGGAAACAAGCCACACACAGTGGCATACACCTTTAATCTCAGCACTCTAAGACTGAAGCAGAGGATCATGAGTTTGAAGCCAGCCTGGGCTACATAGTAAGACCTTGTCTCAAAAAAAAAGTTCGGGTTGGGGGGGTAGGGAATAGCCCTGGGTTCAATCCCCAGTACCATCAAAAAAAAGTATTTTGAATCCTGGGACCAATGTTCTATAAAGTTGTAAAAATACATTGATCTAAAGTTAAGCTAAATTTCATAGGTTGGAGGTACATATACTGATAAGTGTATAATTATAGAGTATTGAGTGCGTAAATATGTATAGCTATTTCTGTTCTTTCATAGAATTTCACATTTTTTTCCCTTTCTTAGGACAAAGTTAAACTATAATCCTCCAAAAGATGATGGATCCACTTATAAGATTGAACTTGAAGGGATATCGGTAATGGTTATGAGAGAGATCCTGGATTACATCTTCAGTGGGCAGGTATGAGACACAGGGGAGGAGGCCTCAGAGGCTTCGCAAGCTCTCAGCTGTCACACGCCAGGGCGGCACTGCCATCCTCATCTTCTGTCATCGTCTGCTGCGACTGGTATCTCCTCCTGCTGAGGGCACCCATGTGGTTTTCTTAGGCTCTGCTTCTACAGAGAAACAGACGAAGTAAGAGCATAGACCCAAATGCAAGTTCCTGGTTTGCCGCTCTGAGCTCCACCTCCAGGATGAGATGACGAACACGGGATGTGCCCTTCACTGCTGTCTCTCGTGCTCTTTGTATCTTGAATCCAGTCTTGCTCTGTGTCCACACTACCTGGGGAGCTTCATACTCCATAGTGTGAAAATAGAAGCCTCCTTGGGCATTGGGGATGGTTTGTAGAAATGGACAGTTTCTTATAGGTCATTCCCCAAAAAAGGGATTCACGCAAATGAAAGACACTCTTGTTACGGTACTGATGCCTGTGTCCCTGCCCACTGCTGCTCTTCACCCTGATTTCCTTTTGCTCTCTGTGCCCACATGTATTTCTGGAGATTTTATGATAAATGACTGGACTTCTTTCTTTTCTTTTGCCTGCCTCCCACCCTCAGCCTCCATTGTGTAACTTATATTCTAGCATGGGACTCTTGAGAAGAATCTTAGAAGTGTGTGAGTCAGGGTCAGTTTTTAACCAAAGAAGGTTAATGTATCTTACATCGGTTCTCTGAGAGTACGTTCTGTCTTCATTCTCTCCGAGGTCTTGTCCCTGCTCCTCCTCTGGTCCTTTTTCATTGTTACTGTTTTACTTCTTTCTGTCAAGGCTGTTTCTCCTGCATATTTTCTAAGTATTCTGTCCAGTCAAACTCGGTGCTTCTCATCCTTTTGAAGTGTGTGGTGTGATTTCATATTACCTCCTTCTCTTTCTGTAAACACAAGGCAGTGGGCATGTGTGTGTGTGATTGTTAAAAACAAATGGATTTAAATTATTTTGGGGACAGCCTTTAAAATATTGGAGATACTCTGCAGTAACATTAAATCAGTTGTACCACCAGCCTCTCATCTGACTTGGAAAGTCAAGTCAGAGCATATGTACATGAGTGACAGTCCAGTGAGAGCATAGACCTGTGCAGGCTTGGATTTGAACTTTGAAACTGTGTTTACAGATTGATTCTGTGACTTGTCCCCAATTTAAATTGCACTGTAAACTATAAAAAACTCTTGAATTGGCATTTAGTTTATTGAGGTGCAGTCTGTTTTTTCACTTGCCTATATTTGAATAGCCTACAGTTATCCACTGTCTTCTGGCTAGATTGAATGTCCTGTACATAGGAAGGTCTCCCTTCCTTGGGGCTTAGTCAGTCTCCTACTTTCCACAGTTCTTATGCTCTGGTTTGAAGGCAATTGCCAATAATGCTTTTTTTTTTTAAATCAGTGGTATGAAATGTTTAAAATGTGGTAAAAAAAATTGTTTCTTGTTGTATTCTGTATATCCTCTCATTTCTGAATGTAGGGAAGCACTCTTGCTTTGGGGAATTCACTTGTGATTGTGGCAGTATTTTAGTGGCCCATATCTCTACATTGCTTTCCTGTTGCATAGAGAAACTGTGGAGTAGAGAGAGACAGATCAGAAAATTGAGGAAAATGAAGGAAAAGTAAACATTTATGACGGGAAGGATGGTATTAAGGATTTATTCCAGAAGGCAGTTTGAGGCCCAGTTGTGTCCATTGCACCATGGACAGTGTTTTGATATTCAGGATGGGGCTCCTGATGATGTAAATGCTTTATATCGAGGACATGTGTCCCTTGTGGCGTATCACTTGACACAAGAGGAAACTTGACACGCTTGGAGTCAAGATTTCCAACACCTGAGGAAAACCACGGAAGATAGAATGTCCCATGGCCTGAGCATTTCACTCAGGTTTTTCTGAGTTAGAGAAGGAGTACATGGACAGGTTCCCTCAGCAGGGTGAGCAGGAGTTCCCACTGGCTGGAAAAGTTAAACAGGTTAAAAGTTGAATATATCTGCTCGTGTTGGGAGAAGGTCCTTTGGTGGCACAAACTCTTGAAAAAATGTGCTTGGTTGATGTGTGTGAGATTGCCAGTATGTATTCATCTCTGACCTACAAAAATGGCCATTTCATGTAGGTCAACCTGATAGGCTAGTGGTTTGGGTTTTAAATATCTCATATTTCTGGTTCTTTTCAGATCAGGCTAAGTGAAGATACAATCCAGGATGTTGTGCAGGCAGCAGACCTGCTGCTGCTGACGGACCTTAAGACGCTGTGCTGCGAGTTCTTAGAGGGCTGCATTGCAGCCGAGAACTGCATCGGCATCCGTGACTTCGCCCTGCACTACTGCCTGCACCACGTCCACTACCTCGCCACCGAGTACCTGGAGACTCACTTCCGAGATGTCAGCAGCACAGAAGAGTTCCTCGAACTGAGTCCTCAGAAGCTCAAAGAAGTGATTTCTCTTGAGAAGTTGAACGTTGGCAACGAAAGATATGTGTTTGAAGCAGTGATTCGATGGATAGCGCACGATACAGAAATAAGAAAGGTAGCTGTCACTTATGGCATGGTCTTTTGTTGCCTTTGCACTTATTTTTAATCCAAATATAGTTGTTGAAAGACTTATAAGTTGTGGCCTAAAAGATGTCTGGAAAACATTTCCCCCATATATGACTACAGTTGACTGTTACCAAGTCAGCTGGTAGGGTCCCTTTACTCTGCCTTAATAATGAATTGTGACTGGGCGAGGAGAAACTCTTCCAGTGCTGGTTCTTCCTGGGCCTGGGAGCCCTGATCCTAGAGCTGCTCTGGCAGGGCCAGAGGCTCATAGCTCCAAGCCCTGAGAGCTGAGGGCCTCTTGCTCCAGGCTTTAGAAGCCAGTGACTATGGCTCTAGGGACTCGGGTTGGAAGCTTATTGCTCCAGGCTCCTACCACCAGTGGCTGTGGCACTTGGCAGCTATTATAACTCTTGTCTTGGAGCAGCGGTGAGCAGCAGCAGGCAGTGCCTACTAGTGTTACAGCTTCTGAGCAGGCCCCGGGTACTGGGACCCTCAGCTCCTACAGCAGCTAGTTGGACAGCTTTCCAGCCTCGAGTATCTGCTGCAGTTCTTAGCCCTTAAGGCTTTGCAGCTCCATGGAACTCTTCCAGTCACCAGGGCCTGTAGTTTCTCATCTTCAGCTCTTCCTAGCCTTTGTTGTCTCCCCAACGTCTGCTCCCTGCTCCTGATTGCTCTCTGGAACTCTTCAGATGTCTTCTTGCCACTGCTGCTGCCACCGTTGCTGCTGCTACTGCTCTGCTGCTGTTTCTGCCGGCTCCTCTCCATGCTACCCACTGAACCCACTGTACTAATGATAAAAATCAAAAATAGAAAGAAAAGGCTACTTGAAGACTTTTTATTAGACCTAATGTTGCATCCCTACAGAGCAGCACAGAGGGTGTCTCCCTGCTGACTCAAAAAGTAAAAGCTGAACATCCTGCTTATGTAGCCTGAAAGGGGTGTGCAATGGTGTTTGCACCAATCCATGTCTACACTAAACACAGGCCTACCCCTGGGCCCCCAGGGGAAGTGTCCCACCCTGGCCTGGGTGAAAATGGCTGCTAGAGTTCACTGAGGCTTGTGATGGCAGAGTCCAGCGCAAGCTGTTTGAAACAGTTATGGCTGGGACAGTGCCTTCTGGAGCTGGAGTGGAGCTGTGCTTCAGCAGCAAGCTGTGGTGCTGTGCAACTTCCTCAAGGCCTCTGGAGTATTGAAAACAGTTAGATTGGCGTGAGGGCAGTCCTGCCAGCTGTTTGCCTAATAGTCCTCCACTCAAGACGGCCAAGACACCAGGGAAGAGACTGACAGCTATCGATTAGGGAGTCATCACCCTAGAGCCCAGCATCTTAGCAGTACCCCAGTACCACCAAAATATAAATTAAATTAAATAAAGTAAAAATAAACTTTAGCAGGAAGCTTACAATAAGGGTGTGTCAGAAACATTAACAGTGATTTATTTAACAGTACTTAGCAGTGTTTTATTCTTAACTAAATGTCTTTGGGGAGAGTTGGGTCATTTTATCGCTCAAGACCAATCTGTAGAAGCCCATGTGTCTCACAATACACCGGAAAAAAATAATGGCCATTGAACTTATCCCTTATACATTGCTTTTAATGGGAAAATGCATTTCAAGCTTAGGCTGGAAATTACGGACCTGAAATATCTCCACTTGTGCTGTCAGCGTCATCTTGTCCTCTTACGTCACTGGGATTGACCCCTCCCAGGTACCCTGCTGGTACCATCAGCAGGCAGATGATGGCACATGGAGTCTGGCAGAAGGGTGAGGAGCCTGGGCCTAAAGAGCTTTGGTGGGGCTCTCCCCAGAGTGGATGACATCATGGGGAGGGAAAGCGGGGTGGAGGGGGAGCTCTGGAGTTTGTAGCAGTGCTGCTCCATACAAAGAGGAAATGTTCCAGAGTGACAGCTCAGGAAAGAGGGTCTCAGAGAATGTCAGCCTTTAGATCCAAATGGGGAATACAGTGGAGGTGAGCAGAAGGGCAGGACTTGCTTTCAAGTCTTCTCTTTGTGAGTAAGACTAGCTCCAATCAGTTTCAAAGGAAGAAATGGGTTGGCTTTAGAGAGTGGGTTTCAAAATGTATAATTGCGCTGGTCATTGTTCCTGCAGCTTGTGTGTATGTACATGGAGAAACTAGTTTTGGTTTGGAACTGTAGTATTCTTTTTCCATGTTAGTTGGGTAGGTTAGGAAAGGAGACAGAAGTGTCCAGTTCATCCCGCTCACTGAACCCATGTAGGAAGTTGCTCCTCGCCAGCCTCTGCTGGAGCCTCCCTCACCACAGAGTGGGGAAACTGCACTTTGTCCTTTGGAAATCTGAACTCAGTGCTATAAAGACGATGGGCTTTCATCACTCAGACTATAGGAAAGTATACCTTAAAATGACTACTTCAAATCAAGAAAAATCTCCTGACTGTGCCAGTTAATAAGCTAATCAAAAATCATTAAAAGTGTTTCCCCTGGTCAATTGGTTCAGACATAGCTATGAAACAAGAGTATATAATTCCTTTTGTGTGTGTCAGATAACTGTGAACATCGATCACTGCAGAAATGATTATATGTACTCGGGAGTTTTTTGAACTTTGGCTTTTCTGTATTTTTCTTACAGTGTTAAGGTTGATACTGCCTAGAATACTTCTATATAATTATTACATATTTCATAGCCTATCCAAATATGGGAAACAGCAAAATATAGCCATTTTTGACTTTGCTTATCTATTGCAATGGGAAGCCTTGAGGTGTAAAGAACACTGCTTGAAACTTTATGCTGATACTGAACTGATTTTTGGGAGGTTTTTTTGTGGGGGGTTGTAGGGTTTTTTGGTGGTTTTTGGTGGTGCTGGGGTTTGAACTCAGGTCTTTTGAGTTTGCTAGGCAAGTGCTCCACCACTTGAGCCAAGCCCCAGGTTTTCAGATACAGCTGGCCCTGAGCCATGATCCTTCTACCTGAGCTGCCATCACCACACCTGGTTTGTTTTTGACATAGAGTTTCACTGCGTTTTTGCTTGGGCTGACCTTGAACTGCAAGCCTCACAAGTAATTAGGATTAAAGACATGAACCACTGCGTCCAGCCCTGAACTGATAATTTTTTAAAAAGTAAACTTTAATTCTCCGAGCCTGTGGGAGATAGGAAGGAAAGGGCTTGTGTTGCATATTCAAGCAGTATTGGGACTGTAATGGAGTGTTAACAGTGGTAGTTCCTATGACTTGGCAAATGCACACTCTAAAAGCCTTGGGTCACGTTCTCCATTTTCTCTCCCTGTCCTTTCTGCCCTCCTAGGTCCACATGAAGGATGTCATGTCAGCACTGTGGGTTTCAGGGTTGGACTCCAGTTATTTACGGGAACAGATGCTGAATGAACCATTAGTGCGAGAAATCGTCAAAGAGTGCAGCAACATACCGCTCAGCCAGCCGCAGCAGGGAGAGGCCATGCTGGCCAGCTTCAAGCCTCGGGGCTACTCAGAGTGCATCGTGACTGTCGGCGGCGAGGAAAGAGTGTGAGGGGGCAGGGGTCCTCAGCAGGGTTTCTGGGAAGGGCATCTAAACCACAGTAGCTGTCAGCGTTTTAAATTGGTGTTCTGATCATTCCTTACAGCGCTAAAACTAGTAATGCTCCATGTGAGCAGAACTGCAGAAGACCTTAACCTCTGATCAATTATTCATTTCCTCAGTTCACGGAAACCCACGGCAGCTATGCGCTGCATGTGCCCGCTGTACGACCCTAACCGGCAGCTTTGGATCGAGCTGGCCCCTCTGAGCATGCCCAGAATTAACCATGGCGTCCTCTCAGCAGGTACTGTCTGTGGCCACCTTTAGTTGAACACCAGACCGAGTAATGTGTAATTTCAGGGTTCTAGGGAATCACTCAAAACCCTCTTCTAGAGATAACTTACTGTCTCTACATGGTGACATTGTCAGGCGGTACAGCTTTCAAGGTGATGATGAGAGAGGAGCATCTTAGGCCACCGCATTGTTTCCAGGTCTCACCATCCCCACCCCCAACACAGTGTTGCCTTTGAGCCTCGACATTCCCATCCTGGAGTTTCACACTGCTTAGAATTACAGTGTAGTTAAACTGTATCATGTAAAGCAGGCATTTCCTGTGAGGAAATAGTACTTGTTAGTAGAGGCTTTCAGGTTACTTCATGACAGAGAGTATGTTGTACTTGACCTTCACAAGTTTGAAAACTGTTCCACTTCATTCAGAGCTCTCACTTCAGGAGGCTGTACAAAAGATTGTGGCTGCTGCCTCACCACACTTGCTACCTTTCTCTTCCCCTCGGACCTTCCATCTGCATTTGCCCAACAAGTGCCGTGTCACCTGATTCTAGTGATGGTCAGAGGCCTCCTAGAACTCTTACTTGATTTGTCTGCTTGCTCACTAATGTTCCTTTAAAAACTTTTAAAGTTCTACAGTACCATACCACAAAGATGGTTATGGCTATACTATTTATAAAATGGAATCATTTTATGAGTCTCAGTGATAATGGAGCAATTGTCAACAGTAAAGCATTGGATAGCAGGCTGAGGGTCTCCTTGTCCTAGTCTGTCCTCCCAGACTTGGCTCCCCCAAGTGTCTTTCCATAATATGTACACATACTTAAAATCGTCACTCACCTGCACCTTTACAAAGGTTCCTGTGTCACTGCTTTCTAAACATTTTCTGGACAGGTTGGTATTTTAGCACCTAAACAAGGAAGTTGTGCATAGAGTTGTGTTGACTGAGGCTGAAATGATCTTGTATTTTTTATTTTGCTTTTTCCCATTTCCCTGGTGTGCTCCATTTCTTTCTTTTCTTACCTTTTAAGAAAATTGATTTTAACTATTTTGTGTCATTTAGTTTTTCCTCTCTGCCAGTTTAGAAGTTATATTCTTGTTTACATTCCTTTGGGGAAGTTACCTTAGAAATTATAGCCTGTCTCTTGAGTGATCACAGTTAAAGGAATACATTTATTCTGTGTCTAGGTATTTCCATCTTTTCATGTGTCACGGTCTTACGGTATTAAAACACATGAGAGCCAGGCACCGGTGGCTCTTGTCTATAATCCTGGCTACTCAGGAGGCAGAGATCAGGAGGATTGTGGTTTGAAGCCAGCCCAGGCAAACAGTTCATGAGACCCTATCTCAAAAAAACCTATCTCAGAAAAAGGACTGGTGGAGTGGCTCAAGGTATAGGCCCTGAGTTCAAACCCCAGTACCACAAAAAAAAAAGACATGAGTATTAGTAAATATATACGTGCTATTATATATATTTTTAACTGTATTTTTGGATGGATGAATGAATGGGCAGTGTTAATTCTTATCTCTGAAGTTCATCCTTTCAAATTTCCTTTTGATTTATTTGTCTGCAAATGTCATTTTTAGGGTGAGAGGGTGAAAGGGTTTGAGACAGGGTCTTACTGTGTAGTCCAGGCTGGCCTCTAATTTGAATGTTCTTGCTTTAGTCTCCTGAGCACTGGCATTAACAGGAATGCACATACACACAAAGAGTAAATACAGTTAGGGCTGGCTGAGTGGCTCAAGCAGTAAGAGTGTCTGCCTAGCAAGTATGAGACCCTGAGTTCAAACCCCAGTGCTGCCAAAAAAAAAAATAACACACAAATGTCCTTACTTTGCCTTTGATCTTAAAGAATATTTTTTGCCAGGTATACAATTTTGCATTGATACTTTTTTTTTTTCACCACATTTGAAGATGCCTTTCCACTGACATCTGGCTTTCCTTTTTTTTTTTTTTTGTGGTACTGGGGTTTGAACTCAGAGCCTCACACTTGCTGGGCAGGCACTTTACCACTTGAGGCACCCCTGCCAGCCCTTTTTTGTGTTGATTATTTTCAACAGGGTCTCACAATCTATTTTCCCAGGCTGACTTCAAACCACGATTCTCCTGATCTCTGCCTCCTGAATAGCTAGGATTACAGGCATGAACCACTGGCACCTGACCTGGCTTTCATTCTTAAGTCAACTGTCAGTCTAAAAAATCTTGGGTTTTTTGTTTGTTTGTTTTTGCAAATAAAGCAGGAGAGTTTATTGAGATAGGAAAGTATGAAGCAGGAGAGTAGAGCCTCCAGACTTGGGAGGGGGAGTCCCAAGAGAGGGTACCCCTAAAAAGTCTTTATTTTCCCTGGGGTTTTATTTAAGGTTTTCTTTATTATTTCTTCCTTGTACCTACCATTATGTTATAGTACGCCTAGGTATATATGTTTTATTTAAAATTATATCATATTTGGGACTTGTGTTTTTTGACACTCTGGATTGGCCTTTCAATTTTGGAACATTCTTACCCATTTTGCCTTCACATACTGCCTCTACTCTGTTCTCTCTCCCTCTGCTCTTTGAAGTCTCAGCAAACACTGGCGGGCCTTTCTTACACCATCCTTCACCCTCCACTACCTACTTCTTTCTGTTACTTTCCATCTTTTTTTTTCCTCCACACTGCCCTGTTGATGACTGCTTTTGATTTAACTTCTATTCAAAAGAAATTTTCTTTAACTGATGCATCTGCTATTACCCTGCCCATTGAATTGTTTGATTTCTAGACTCTCTTTAAATGGTTTTCATTTCTGTACCTCCATGTTTTCTGGACTTACCTTAGACTTTCTTTCATTGCTGGTGGTGTTGTCTGTTATCTTTTTATTTTTATTTTTATTTTATTCATATGTGCACACAATGTTTGGGCCATTGCTCTCCCCTTCCCACACCCCCTCCCTTACCCCCCTACCCCCTCCCTCTCCCCCCCTACCCCCTCACTACCCGGCAGAAACTATTTTGCCCTTATCTCTAATTTTGTTGAAGAGAGAATATAAGCAATAATAGAAGGAACAAGGGTGTTTGCTGGTTGAGATAAGGGTAGCTATACAGGGAGCTGACTCGCATTGATTTCCTGTGCGTGTGTGTTACCTTCTAGGTTAATTCTTTTTGATCTAACCTTTTCTCTAGTTCCTGGTCCCTTTCTCCTGTTGGTCTCAGTTGCTTTAAAGTATCTGCTTTAGTTTCTCTGCGTTGAGGGCAACAAATGCTAGCTAATTTTTTAGGTGTCTTACCTATCCTCATACCTCCCTTGTATGCTCTCACTTTATCATGTGATCAAAGTCCAATCCCCTTGTGTTTGCCTTTCATCTAATGTCCGCATATGAGGGAGAACATACGATTTTTGGTCTTTTGGGCCAGGCTAACCTCACTCAGAATGACGTTCTCCAATTCCATCCATTTACCAGCAGATGATAACATTTCGTTCTTCTTCATGGCTGCATAAAATTCCATTGTGTATAGATACCACATTTTCTTGATCCATTTGTCAGTGGTGGGGCATCTTGGCTGTTTCCATAACTTGGCTATTGTGAATAGTGCCGCAATAAACATGGGTGTGCAGGTGCCTCTGGAGTAACCTGTGTCACAGTCTTTTGGGTATATCCCCAAGAGTGGTTTTGCTGGATCATATGGTAGATCAATGTTTAGCTTTTTAAGTAGCCTCCAAATTTTTTTCCAGAGTGGTTGTACTAGTTTACATTCCCACCAGCAGTGTTAAGAGGGTTCCTTTTTCCCCCGCATCCTCGCCAACACCTGTTGTTAGTAGTATTGCTAATGATGGCTATTCTAACAGGGGTGAGGTGGAATCTTAGTGTGGTTTTAATTTGCATTTCCTTTATTGCTAGAGATGGTGAGCACTTTTTCATGTGTTTTTTGGCCATTTGAATTTCTTCTTTTGAGAAAGTTCTGTTTAGTTCACTTGTCCATTTCTTTATTGGTTCATTAATTTTGGGAGAATTTAGTTTTTTGAGTTCCCTATATATTCTGGTCATCAGTCCTTTGATGTGTAGCTGGCAAATATTTTCTCCCACTCTGTGGGTGTTCTCTTCAGTTTAGAGACCATTTCTTTTGTTGAGCAGAAGCTTTTTAGTTTTATGAAGTCCCATTTATCTATGCTATCTCTTAGTTGCTGTGCTGCTGGGGTTCCATTGAGAAAGTTCTTGCCTATACCTATTTGTTGAAGAGGCTGTCTTTTCTCCATCATATATTTTTAGCGCCTTTGTCAAAGACAAGTTGGTTATAGTTGGGTGGCTTCATATCCGGGTCCTCTATTCTGTTCCACTGATCTTCATGTATGTTTTTGTGCCAGTACCATGCTGTTTTTATTGTTATTGCTTTGTAATATAGTTTGAAGTCAGGTATCGTGATACCTCCAGCATTGTTCTTTTGACTGAGTATTGCCTTGGTTATTCATGGCCTCTTGTGTTTCCATATAAATTTCACATTAGATTTTTCAGTCTCTTTAATGAATGTCATTGGAATTTTGATGGGAATTGCATTAAACATGTAGATTACTTTTGGGAGTATAGACACAATGTTTATTATGTTGATTCTACCAATCCATAAGCATGGGAGATCTCTCCACTTTCTATAGTCTTCCTCAATCTCTTTCTTCGGAAGTTTATAGTTTTCCTTGTAGAGGTCATTCACATCTTTTGTTAGGTTTACACCTAGGTATTTGATTTTTTTTGAGGCTATTGTAAATGGAATTGTTTTCATATATTCTTTTTCAGTTTGTTCATTATTAGTGTATAGAAATGCTAATGATTTTTCTATGTTGATTTTATATCCTGCTACCTTGCTATAGCCATTGATGGTGTCTAGGAGCTTTTGAGTAGAGTTTTTTGGGTATAGGATCATATTGTCTGCAAATAGGGATATTTTAACAGTTTATTTACCTATTTGTATTCCTTTTATTCCTTCTTCTTGCCTAATTGCTCTGGCTAGGAATTCCAGTACTATGTTGAATAGGAGTGGAGATAGTGG